TTTTTTTTTGATAAGGTAAATTGTATTAATCAAAAGGGAGAGAACTCCCGTATACAGGAAGTATACCAAAAAGTAGAGAATTTACATCAGAACATGATTCTCTACAAAAGATGGCCAATCTTCTATACAAGTAGGGGCTATATGAGTGCACCAAAAAGCGATCAAAGATAAAAGACTATTCTTAAGATGTGAAAAAGGAGACTCAATCCCCTCAAAAGCTCTCCTATTCTCTCCCCCCAAACTATCCACATGAGAGCTAAATGATATCCATTATTATTAGCTCTACAAATAATGATTGGCGCATTATTTGTTTGGCGCATTTATACAAATAATGATATCCATCTTTTTCTTTATTAAAAGATTACTCTAGCCATCTCCTACTTATTGCAGAAATTCAAATTCATTTAAACAGATGTAATGTTATTTCAATGGCTAATCAACTGCTACTTCATAATCCTCCCACTCTTACCAGTTTAATTTTACACTTAAGTTGCTTTATTAAACTCCAGTCAAGTGAACCATGTCACATAAGATTGGACGGCGAATGTACCATATTTTTTGCCAGAGTATTGTTTTCATTCTGAAGCATTCTGTGTTGGTGAAGCACTTAACTAATCTGAAAAGCATGTTAACTGGTTGCTGAGATTTTTTCAGCATTTTTCTCTTTCTTGTATTATTTATTCTTTTTTTCCCCCTTAATTAGGGGGCTAGTGTTGGAAATGGGTGTTTCAATATCTGTGCTACTGAAGATTTCTGTTATGTTTGTTTCATAACTAGTAACTAGGGCTTTAAATGAGTGGATTTGTTGCAAAATAAGCTTGAGTTATTTTTTAGCTCTCCGAATTAATCTTGAATGAGAAATTGTACTAGTTTAGTAATCGAGCCAAACTTAGTTCGCCACATGTGATACAATGATTGCGAATGACTTATATGAGTATGCTATATTACATTAAATATTAAATACTCGAGTTTTAAGCTTGAAATTTGCTTTTTGATGTGATTTTTATTTATCTCGAGCTGTGTGCAACTTGTGAACCCAGATTAGGTCAAACTCGATCATAGAATGTTGCTTGATTATTCAACAAGCCAAGCTAGTATATAGTATGCTTGAACTTGATTCAGCTTGATTATAGGCCTTCTAGTAATTCAGCTACTCTCTAAACATGTTTGGTCTCTGTTATTGAAGTCTGCTTTATAATTGAATTGTTAAGCTTGTCACATTAAATTAGGCATTTATTATGTGCTTTAAATTGGCGGCTTACTTTCGGGGACTACTTAAATTACAGATAGATTTGCCAGATACTTATGCAGCTGTTTTTTTCTTTGATAGAGCTGATATACTGAGAGAGAATACAGAAGCTGTATTTGCAGCTTGTGACGCTGCTCATGGAAGATGGGCCAAGATCCTTGGAGTACGTGCTCCTATCCACCCTAAGTTGAGGTTGCAGGAGTTCCTAAACATATATAACATCACTCAGGAATTTATTACTGCCACTGAGAAGGTAAAACTTTATTTTTCTATGAAGTATAAAATTTACTAATTGTAATTTGGTTATTATGTTTATAATTCTCTGTTATTCAAATATGAACAGATTGGTGGAAGGTTGGGGTATAGTATCCGTGGAACCATACAATCACAGGCCAAGGCATTTGTTGATTTTCAACATGATTCTCGAGTTCGTTTCTCTTCCAGCTGAATTTATGTGGTTCCGCTGTCTCTTTCCTGGATTATTAAATGTTTTGTTGTTTAATTCAGATGGCAAAGTTGAAGGCTATACTTGACCAGGAAAACTGGGCTGAGATTGATGTCCCCGATGAGTTTCAGACCATCGTCACATCACTGTTCTGTCCCAAGTCTGGGACCACTGGACATGGTGATGACGATTCTGCTGTCACTGCAACAAGCCAGACTGAAGTGGTCCAAAGCAGCAGTGATCCTTCCATGGTGGATGCTGGAGTTCCAAATATGTCTCATAATACGGAGCAGAGTGATTCTACTTCAACACACCTAGATAGTACAGCACAGGTTAGTCTTTCAAAATTGAGCTGGAGAACTAACTCTAAGGACTGCAGTGCTGATTTTAGACTATTTTAATTCAGAGTAATGACACGAACTCAAGAGACCGCGGAAGATCTAATCCTAGAATGCTTTCCTTTGGGGGTGTTTCATATCACATGGTAAACTGGTCAGTGATTCTCTCTTATTCTGATAAATTCTTCTGTATTTTGAGTTAAAATTGCAGTTTCTTTTTCCAGTTTTCATTTCTTTGTCATAATTTTGTTCGTCTCAAATGCTTCGCTTCTTGTTCCTTGCTTCTTTAATACTTGATGCAGCCTGTACTTAGCTACAATTAATATGAAAATTACTTCCTTCCTCTTATTTTTGACTTAAAATTGCAGTAGGGGTAAGGTCTACGTACACACTACCCTCCTCAGACCCCACTTGTGGGATTACACTGGTTTTTTTATTGTTGTTGTTGTTGCTGTTGTTACTTCCTCTTATTGCTACTGTTTCCTGGTCATTTGGTATAACATCTGATTTATTCTCTGCATGTTTTCATTTTTCTTCTTAAATTAAAGATGGAACCTGCAAAATAACATCGTACTGTTGCTTTTCAGTGGCTTGATTTTGGTGAAGATGTTGTCAGAATATATTGACATGAATAATAGTTTAACCGGCCTATCATCAGAAGTCATTCACCGTGTTGTTGATATCTTGAAGTTTTTCAATACGAGAACTTGTCAACTTGTCCTTGGAGCTGGAGCCATGCAGGTATACTCTTGCATTCTAAATGTGTGTGGCTCATGGGTCATTCCTTGGATATGCCAGACAATTTCGTGCGCTCCGCAAGCCCATCATCCCTTCCACTTCCAGTCCCATTCTTCAATCATATTTTATAGTGCCTTATAGAATAAAATAAACAGAGTGGAACAAGCATAGAGGATTCATATAGCAGGCTCCAACTAGTTTGGGAGTGAGGATAGTTGATGATTTTTTTATTTTTTATTTTTTTAATACACAAAGTAAATGATTCATTACTGTAAACAACAGTACAAAAAGAGTGCTAACTGAAAAAATTTATGTACTAAAGCAGGCTGAGCGTGTAGGGAAATTAAAAAATCTATCAGACTATCTATAGCATATACATCTAGAGTTTGCACCAAAAAGCTAATTGCTGCAAAGATATATATATCTTTTAATCTATGTATAGATTGAGTTATCCCTTCAAAATATCTTCTATTTCTATAATATTTCTTGATTGTCTTTTTTAGTTCTTTACAGTTTGCACCCTTAACGTATGTAATCTTTTCTGATTTACACCTCATCTTTTTAAAAAAAAATTGTTTTACGCCCTAATCTCTGTAGTTCCTTGCAGAACCATAAAAAGTTCCTTTTCTCAATGATTTACAAGGAAAACCGGAAAGTAAAATTAACTAAACAAAAAAAATGACTTAAATTAAAAAAACAAAATCAATATTGAATAACAGACATTCCTTTATGCATATTCTGGAACATTTAGCTCGAGAGGAACAGAAGGTGCTTTGAGGGGAAGGAAGAGAACATTTCGCTGCTGAAGAATAGATGCATCCATAGTTTACAAATTTGGTGTAATGCTGATTTTTCTAATGATCTTGATGTGATGCTGGATTGTCTGGAATCCTGCAGCTTTAGAGGAGAATTCTATCTAGCTTTTGTACTTTGTTTCAGTACCAGCTTGGTGCTGAGTTTATATTAATAATAATATCTTTACTCGTCAAAAAAATATTGAATAACAGACATTTGCTCGTTCCTCTTCATTCAAAGAAACGCACTCCAAAACTATCAGAGTCACTTCTTGTAGGCTCTTCCCTCAAGACACACTCAAGGACTTTTCAGACCTTTCTAGGGAGAGGGAGAGATGGCACTATACTATGATGAATTAGAAACCCAGAAAGACGTAGTGCAAGTCCATTATCGGTGTTGAGTTCATTTCGTCATCAGAATTCATCAATTTGCTCTCAACTTCTACAATTTAATGTTATATACAGATCTCTACTCTCTCCCTCTCCCTAGAAAGGTTATGGCCATACTTTTTTTCATTCTGATGCCAGTTGTAGTAGATGGGTACACCATCAAAGCTCTTTCAGTGCATTGTAACTTGACTCAAATTATTCCTGTTCTCGAGGAGTTCATATCAATCTTCAGCAGCTAGTCCCTGTTTAATGGCCTTCAAAAGATTTCTTCTTGCACTGAAGAAGCGTAGTCTCTTTTGTCATTTAACCACATTGACTATTGACTCTGATTGTTGTTATATCCCACTTAACAGATCTTGGGTTTATGTTAGTGAGCACGTATTTCTGGTCTGGGACTTGTTTCTGGCGGTTGTTAAGTTGTCTAAGGTCTCAATGCCAGTAAATGTATTATATTGATGTTTTGGTTTTTGAAGTATTCTTCTGGAAATCATTATCAAAGTGTAAAAGCTTTCTGCTTTTATAGTTTGCCTGTAACTTGAATTAGAGTTTTTGACCTAATTTGCGTTTCATCTCTACTGAGTGTTTTTTTCACAATTTCTTCTCTTTAAGCATTTTCTCAGTTCTATCTTGTATATGCAATATTGGTGTTGTTAATTTGAGAAAATTTTGCAGGTTTCAGGTTTGAAGTCTATTACTTCTAAGCACTTGGCTTTGACAAGCCAAGTCATCAGTTTCACATACACTATAATTCCTGGTAGGCAATGATGAATAGAACTGTTCACTGATGGAGTTCTTATTTGTTTCTTGCTTGTCTAATTCCTTGTCCACTATTGCATTCATGGTTGATCTTTACTTTAAGATATATCAATGTGGTTGGACCATTAATAATAGCATGCCAAGGTTACCTTTCATTTAATTTGCTACCTGAATTCAGGTTGGAATTTAAAGTGGAACATATGCTGGTTATGTACATTGTTATCTTTCTACCTCTGTCAGTGTATAGTCGAAATTCATGAAAATTTGGTGGTCCATTGCCTATTATACAAAATGTAACGCATTGACATTTTTTTACTTGAGTGTCTGAATGAGTATCCAGAGGAAACCAGCCATTCAGGTTTTCCATAGAGTTAATCTCTCTTCATCTGCGAATTCGTCCTGCGTTGGGTGTTTTTGCATTACACATGATCACCTCTGTCAGTTGGCAACTCTGAAAAAGTTCCATTAAGTCTTAATAGTTGCATGATTCCTTTTTCTTATTGAAAACTCCCGGTTTGCCACAATCATGTCAAATAATTGCTGATATTCTTACTTGAACCTGGTATCTTCAAGTGTAGTGTCTCACCTATCTCATCACACATTTTAGCTTCCTTTCATCTCTCTCTGTCTCATATGCATAGTCATTTTAACCTGAAGCTCCCATGCTCATTTTCTCCTGTTCTTCACCCTTTCGTCATCAGACTATTTAATGCTACTGCTACATCTCTTTTGTTCACCCTTTCTTCGTTAGTCTACTCAGTGCTACATCTGTTTTCTTCACCTCTCTAAATGAGTCTAATACGTGCTACATCTCTTTATAGAAATATACTACTTTCTTTAGGCTATAAATGATTCATTTTCCTGACATTAGAGTTGTCATTTTGTCCTGCTCCCAGAGATAAATTAGTAAGGGAAACCCAAGACACACCTTATCAAAAAAAGGGGACACCCAAGAGGCAAAAGTTTTTCATTTCATGGGCCTTATACTCAGATGAAAGTTTATCTGAAAAAGGAGCAGAGGACCAAGTTTGTCTAACTAAATTTGTTGACTAAGGGCATATGTTGGAAATCATCTTGTGTAATGGCTTTTATCTACTATTAGATGATATGATTCTGGAATTTAAGCTTCAAATGCCCTCAATTGCAAAAAAAAAAGGCGTAGAAGTATTTTTCACGCTTTAATAACTTTCCAGAGTTTCTTTGATACCTATTATGTAACCCATATTCATTTTGCATATTTTGTATGTTTGAAGAAATCAAGAGGATACTGTTTCTGAAAGTGCCTGAGACACACAAGGGATTGCTAATGCTGGAGGTTGATCGAGTAGCACAGGTAAGGAAGATATTTGCTTATGTTCTTTAGCTACTTATGGAATGAACATTTCTGCTTCTTGGTCAACCTTCAAGGTTTTTTATGATGTATCATTTTCTTTTGTGAAATTTCCTTGGGTATTTTTCATTTTTGTGTTCACTCTGCT